ACAGAACAGCAGATAGGACCCACTCACTCTGTCCGGCAGTGGGACTTATCACCAATCGTGTACTTTCAACCTCCAGAATATCCCAACCACCAAGGAAGTACTTTTTCACCCTCCTGTGACACTTCCTACCTTGGTCTGTGCACAGAGTTGCCTGATTGTCATGGTTTTGCAAGCCTTCTTTTTCCCTGTATTGCTGAGAATCCAAGGTTTATTCCTCATTCCAGGTGGGTCCTGACTCCCTACCCCTAAGGCCACTGCAAGAGGCAGTGAGTGCACTGCCTCACGAGAGAGAACCAAGGACCCTCCTGGAGGGGAATGGCTCCCTGTAGAGGCCACCAAATTTGTTGGAAGTAAAAGCTTATTCTCTGGTGTCGCCAAGAAGAGTTGGCACTCAGACCATATATTTTCTCAGCAAGGCAATTTTACTTTCTGCAGAAAGAGCACTACTCGCCAAGAGTCTTGCTGCAAGAGTGCAATGAACAAAGCAAAAACTTTATCCCTTATGTAGCTGGATTCCTATTGCTGTGTCCTGCATCTGTTGGCTGGAGCTGGACCTCAAAACCTAAGCTAGACCCGACTGGCTAATATCTTAAAACTTTCCTAAATAGGTAAGGGGCAGGAAAGAGCAAAGAAAAGAGGAAGTTACTTAGAAAAGAACTGACCTACCCAAATAAGGAAAGGTATGTGTTACAGGTTAAGACATGCCTGGGCATGTTTGCTAGGAAACAAATGGAGTCGAGGTTCTTGGTGCTCAAGAGCAGGGAGACAGAACATGCTTCATTTGAGGAAGAACTTTGCCATATCTTTCACGGATTCAAGCGATTCTCCTGCCGCAGCCTCCCAAGTTGCTGGGATTATAGGCCTGTGCTACCATACCTGGCTAATTTTTGTATTTTTAGTAGAGATGGGGTTTCATCATGTTGATCAGGCTGGTCTGGGACTCCTGACCTCAGGTGATCTACCTGCCTCAGCCTCTCAAAGTGCAGGGATTACAGGCATGAGCCACCATGCCTGGCCATTCAGTGTATTTTCTAATGTCCCTTTTTATTT